AAGGAAGAACATTTCCACTACTTGCCATTCACAGCTACACACTACAGCAGGAAGTGTCCTGAGTAAGATTAAAAATGCATTTCACCGTGGTGGCATAGAATATTATTCCAAAGGTTATCTGCCCTTGAACCAGCAAGGAAATTCTTTTGAAGTTCTCTACATTGGCATCATCGCTCATTCCCATCCAAGGTCTTTGGATACCATGACATCTCGTAGCTCTAGCCTGTGTGTGGCATATTTTGATAATATCCTCACAAAGAGGAAGAGGGATCTTAGATATCAAAAACCACTGACTCCCGCAGCTGGCTGATACTCTGCTGTTGGAGAGATGATTTTGGTGATCTCTATGAGTTATTGTAGATGTTAAATTTCTGTAATATTGTCATATTGATGTGTTCGAAAATCCACTGCTGCGTTTCAGACAGCGGGTCACATCTGTTCATGAAGAGTTTTTTTTCAGCTGGGTTGCAGTCGACACAACTGTTGCTAACAGGATGAAACAAAGTCTTGTCCTGAGGGAGAAAAAAAATCTAGTTCAGAATTTTACATTAAATGCTGTAGTTAAGATAATTTTATCTTTGAACTATTAATGGGACAGTAGGGCAAGGAATACATGGTGTTTGCATTGTGTTTATTACAAAATAAAACAAAACAAAAACGTGTTACAAGTGTCAGATCCAGTTTCCATATTCCTTGACTATGCATAGTCAATTATGAGCCATTAGGAGATGTAAAGAAGCAAGAAATAAATGGGTCATATCATCCTTACAAATACCCTCATGTAGCATGTTATCCTCAAAAATACCCTCATGTAGCACTGACAACTTACACCGCACATTCACATGAGTCCCTGCCCTCAAGGAGCTTACAATCTACAGTCTCTATCTGACATGCATACATACAAGGCCAATTTAAGACAGCAGCCAATTAACCTTCCAGCATGTCTTTGGAGTGTGGAAACCCACACAAGCACAGGGAGAACATGTAAACCCCTTGCAGATTGACCCCCAGTGCTGTAAGGCAGAAGTGCTAACCACTAAGCCACTTGAGCAGTGTTGCACTGAAGCCAAGAAGCAAAACTGTCCAGGGCCAAATTTGCCACTAGGCAATATAAGCTGTGGCCCAGGGTGCCATTGGCACTGGGTGCACCGCCAAGCACAGGTCTACTAAGTGTCCTCTCTCTGCAGATTGGCAGTGGGTGCCCTGTGTTGGAATGTGGCATTGAAAATCATTGCCTCTCTAGATGCATCCTCATGCAGACCCCCTGTCAAAAAGCACACTCTCCAAGTGTGTGAAACTACTATTCTCCCTTTCTCCTCAATCGTGTGACCTATCACATGACCAGAAAGATAGGAAGAAGGGAAGATTTCAGCGTGAATCCAGCCTCAATCTACCCCTAAGAACCTATTCACACAGACCCTTCTGGGTACCTGATGCAGAAAAAATCATGTATTTTGCAACATAAAAATGCATTTCAAGTACAAATGCAATTCTTTCCTATGTGGCTGGTTCACAGGTTAGTGTGAAAAGGAAACCTCATAATAGTATATGGCTCCAAGGGCCCTCATGGCAGGATCACTGAGTGTTATTTTAAACAAAACTGTAGAGTTTAAAGTACTGTAATCACAATAATATGTTACATTTTTAATTTGATTTTCCTATTTTATAGCTTTTATTTGGGGGAAAGGTTTGAATCAAACCACAAAAAGCATTAGGTGCTGTTCTTGATTTTTACTAATGTGATGAAAATCAGTTACTTAGAACAGTTCTGTGCACATAGTACTTCCATCTGGTATCCAGATTTAGTGCTTGCAGCTGTGGTGGAGTGGTTAGCGCGAAGCTGTTTCTTTAATATATGTCCCTCGGCATCCTCACGTCCTATACACAATGTATAGGACGTGAGGACTCACAGGACCAGTCTAAGAGCAAGCTGGCTTTTAGGATCGGGTGAGTATAAGTTTTTTTTTAGCACCTAGACCAAATTAGCATTTAACCCTTGCAGTGCGAGGATAGCCCCACTGTAAGGGATGAGAGAAGTTTTTATTGGAGTGCTTTTTTAACTGCAGCAGAGAAACATCACGTATCCTTCCCTGCCAGACTGGGTTGTGCCCTGCAGCAGAGCCTTTTAAAACCTCAGTACTGGATAAGCAGGACTATAAATCCTTTGGCTGGTAAAACAGCTCTATATGTATTTCTTCTGTGCCTTTAGCTGTTTTAATGGCGTTCAACTTTATCTAATAATCTGGGCATCACACAACTGTGGAATTTAAAGAGAACTCCACTTTTGTTAAGATTAGGGTTGGGCTCGATTTTCGAGCCGAACGTGAGTTCGACTTGAACATCGGCAGTTCGTGTGTTCGGTGAACACTGTGCCTTGTGAGCCCTGATTGGCTAAAGCCTTGCACCTGACCACAGGTCAGGTGAAAGACTTTGCCCAATCAGGGCACAGAGAACTGTGAGAGCCATGATTGGGCAAAGTCATGATGACTCTGCCCAGTCATGGCTCACCTGTTACAATTGTAAACAGTTGGGCGAAGCTAGCTGTCTCTGCTAGCTCCGCCCAAATGTTTATATGTTACCGGCGTCTGTCAAAATGCCATTCTGCAGCGGGTGTTCCTCGCAGGGGACAGGAAGGCGGTCGTCGTGTTTTTAAAAAAATGATGATTTCTATTTATTTTTTATTGTTTTATTTTTTATTTGATCGAGTCGTCATGGACAACACTGGACGTCGTGATTGACGCTGGATAACGTCAGTAAATCCATTTTTTTTTTTTAAATAAAAGACTTGTTTTTTTTCACATAAAGGATTTTTTCAAAAGTGTTGCCTCCTTTGTGAAACTTTTATTTAACCCTTTAGTGAATGGGTAGGGGTACAAGTACCCTTCCTCATTCACGAGGGGGGAGCGCAACCGGGTGCCCCTTTATTAAAGGGGTACCCTGATGTGAATAAGTCCCCTGCCTGCACCCCCACAACTAACGTCCCAGGGCTTGTGGGGAAGAGGCTATTGTCCCTATCGGCACGGGGACAAGGTGCTTTTCCAGGGGCCACCCTGGAAAAGCACCCACCCAGTGCTTAGGGCATATGGGGGGGGGGGGTGCTAAATGTTTCTTTAGTTTAGGAATGTCAGTTTTGCTGCAGCAGGTTCTCATACAGATCCGACACTTTACAGGCAGGTTAAGGGGTCCCCCCAGGCATGATATTTAAAGGAATTTTAAATTTTTATTGTTACCCTTTAAGTGATGTTAAAATCACTGCTCCTTTAAAAATTTTATTTTTAAAAGGTATTTTTTTTCATTGAATCCTGTCCCCCAGGGCAGTATCCGGATCGCCATACACCTTTTATGGTCAATAAATTGCATATAAGTCCTCCTAAAGGGGACATTTGATTCTCAATGTTCTACCCCTATAGACTTGCATTGAGTTCAAGTTCGAATTCAAACTTTTTGTATGTTCTAAAGTTCGAATTCAAACCGAACTCAGGCCTGTTCGGCCCATCACCAGTTAAGATAGACTTTGCATAATTGCTGCACACACCATTTCCTACTTGAGTGTCCGAGTTCTGGTATTTTTGTAAAACTGTCAAAAAGTCATATGTTGCTTCCTGGCATAATGCCTAGAGACCTAGAGACCTAGAGACCTACTTTACACCGTATATGAGATGTCATTTCCTGCTTCTGTTATTGGCTGGCTGCTTTCCTGCAAGATTTTAAAGTGACACTAAACTCAGGAGTTAAATCTTAAAAATACATTCAAGTACCTTTAACTATTAACAATAATGTATCTTATCTGTGTATCACTCAGTTGTAGATCTTTAAATAATCTCTGAATTAATCTTGACACTGTCCTTCCTTCTGGAGGGTGGCTACTTTTGTTCCCCATGGTCCCCGTGTGTGTTGTAAAGTAACCACCACTCCAAGATCACTCACATAATAGACTATAATTTCAATACATATTAGTAAACTGAACATGAGATTGTAGTCCATCATGGGAGTGATCTTGGAGTGGTGGCTACATTACAACACATACAGGGACCATGGGGAACAAAATTGGCCAACTTCCAGAAGGGAGGACAGTGTCAGCACCAATTCAGAGATGATTTGAGGATCTACAGACGAGTGATACACAAATAAGATACTGTCCATTTTTGTTAATAGTAGAAATGCATGCTAGTATCAGTATCGGTGCCAACACTGAGTATTTGGGCGAGTATTTGGGCGAGTATTTGTATTCGCCCAAATACTCCTGATGCCTATCCCAATACTGGAACTTCTGGTATCAGGAAGCCAGGTGCCCAGACATTACACGCCGCCCGGCTTCCTGATTGGCCGGGAAGCCGGCTCCATGCTCCCTCGTCAACAAGTGTAAAGACTCACAGCTCAGCTTCCTGATTGGTCGTGAAGCTGGCCAAACATGAAGCAGGGCGGGGATTCATTACCTGCCCCACAGCTTCCTGATTGTTCAGAAAGCTGGCTCCATGCATCTTCGTCACCTAATGATGAGGGAGCATGGAGATGGCTTCCTGGCCAATCAGGAAGCCGGGCGGCGAGTCATTACAGTCCACCCGGCTTCCTTAATGGGACTTCCAGTATCAGTATTCAATGTCGGCGAGTAGCACAAAAAAAATATATAGGTACTCCTACTCGTTACCGAAAAACTGGTATTGGTGCATCCCTAGTTAATAGTTAAGGTACTTTGATGCATTTTTACGATTTAACTCCTGAGTTTAGTGTCACTTTAAATAAATGTCCCTTTGAAGTTAAGGTGCTCATAGAGTCAAGTCATTGTGAGAACGATCAGTACACTAATACAAACACTTCTAAAGGTTAACTGTATTTTTTCATCAGTGGAGAAAGTAATTAAAAGACATAAATCTTACAGTTTTAAACAGTGGCATTACTCTAAGATTTTCTATTAGAATTAGCCTTACATGCAAATCCATAACACATTTCTTTTTGCAGTGCTTTTACTATGCAGATTAGTGATTTGGCCAACAGGTCACTCCAGATTGTGTTCCTATAATATGCTACCTCATCGCATCTCATGAATTGCCGCTTGGAAGACTTGAAATGATCGTAAACAGTTTAATGTGGACTGCTAATGTGCGTTCCATATAACTTGGCTATAATAATGTGTCCTTGTAATAACGATGTAAATACTTCCCAAGTAATTGGATATGATTATGCAGCAGTTAAAATGCATAACATTCTGTTTTTGTAATTTGAAGATAGATAGCTTATTTGTGATTCCAGTCATCATTGCAGTTTTGAAGTAACTGTATTTCTCATGTGTTTTCTGACATTTATTTTATGTGCTTGTCACTATGTTAACATGAATGTTCTGACTTGGTATTTTATTAGCCAAAATGTTATGTTAAGGTAGATACCAGTGTACAAAAATATGCAAACATTCTACATAATATGGCTGTATAAAGTCATAGCAAGCAATCAGAACTCAACTCTTACAACTTAAAGGAGAACTATGGGGTTAAGGCTTTTCCCCATAGTTCTCCTA